AAAAAAAAAAAACGAAAGATTTTAGGAAGAGACTGTAACAATATAAAGAATAAAAAAAACTGTATGTATGATACGATATAAAGTTCATAAAAGAAAATAAAGAAAAAAAATTCATTAAGAAATATTATAAAATTTTATATTGCAGAAATTTTTAATCATTTCTTTATCGAAACGAATTTTGGAATTTTTAAAAAAATAAATTAATTTTTAAACACTTTTCAATAAAAATAAATTAAATAACATAATGGAATAAAAATGAACAATGATTTTCAAAACAGAAAATCAATTAGCTATTTTCTAAACTATAATTATTTAACCATTTTTATCCTCTGATAAAAAACCAATTCTATGCGATAAATACGATAGATCATTAATCATATCAAACCGCTTAAAGTATGATAAACTGCACCTATGAATACATATATCAAAGATAAAAAAAGAAATTCATAATTTTTTTTTAAATTCATTAAACAAATAAAATTAATATTTAACCCTCCTTTTAATAACCTGTTCTTTTTTAATAACAATCTCATCAACGATATCAAAGGATAAAAACAACGCGTCAAATTTCTATTTTCTACACTATTCTATAATTTCACAGTCGAGTTACGAATTTCAATCCGTATGAAAGGCAAGAAAAACACAACCGATCTTCGTCAACCTAACTAACAACTCGAGCGCCATCCATCATCGTGGCATGCGTTTACTCGACTCAAAGAGGGGTACGAGTGACAGTGTCCCACGTCGATTAAAAAATTAAAGCTAATTACGGTCAAGGTGCAGCCATCCGTCCTCCCGAGGCGCGGAGACGAGGCATCGTCGTCTGGTCCTCCACAGGGAGGACGAACGGTTGAAAATAAAGAGAGGGAGGGACGGCTCTGAAAGGATATCCATTATATCCGTTCGCCTCTGCTTAAAATTACCACTCTCGTGCATTCCGTGCCAACGGAGGGGAGTGCATGATTGTAACGCCACTGCGGAATGACAATGTGGGAGGACCAGTAATCACGACAATGAAGGAATAACCGCGCTCGTGTAACGAGATTGCTGATCACAATGATCACCACTCTCTGGGGTACCACCCTACCTCCCGACTGCCTATTAATTAACGAAGGAACGAGGGGCTGTAATAAGTCTGAATAATAAGTGAGTTTGATGCGTTGGAATTGTTTCAGTTTTTTTCCATCTCTTTTTCTTTCCTTTTTAACGTTCTTTTAGACTACAAGTGTGGTATAAGTCTGAAAATATCTCTTGTTTGTTTGTGTTTGAATTAATATAATTGAAATTGTCTTTGGATTATTTTTTTGAATTCTGAAAATTTTAAAACGGATTTCTCGATGTTGGATTATCTCGGTTTATTTATTTATTTATTTTTTAGAGCAAAATAATACAGAGTTCCAAAATAATACAGAGATTTGTAGATATTTATTAAGCAATTGGGAAAGGGAGATGGAGGCGAGGAATCAAATTAGAATTCATAAAATTATCAGAAATTTCTCTCTGGCAATTTAAAAACTTCTTTTTCGGTATTTCTCGTTATACTTAAAAAACATGAACGCTCGACTCTCACGTCATGCGAGAAATAAACTTCTCGTTGAAACGAAGTTGGAGTACGCACGTGGTTACGTCTGTTGGCAACGATGGTAAAACATTCTGCGCGGTTTCGAAATGAGAAAAATATCATAATTACACGGGACACTCTCGAGACATGACTCGATTTTCTGGCGTCGCGATCTTCCGTTTGAAAAATTGCAATTTTTGGACGATGTCGGGTTCCCCCTTTCATCTCGAAACATCACAGATGCGTTCAAAGTAATGAGATTTTTCCGTGAACGTATCATACGGGTTTTTATATTTTTTCTACCATATTTTGTTGAGGATAATTTCCAAATAGGATATCCGATTTTCGTGTCTTTATTCAAAGTATTACGATACGAAATTTATATAATTATTTGTCACACAAATGCAACAATGTGAATTACTATTAACTTTTATTTTATTTGTAATAATATTTATAATTGTATATTCGCAATTTTTTATTTCGTAACATTTTATAAAGTTAAAAACAAAAAGGTAAACGTGCACTGAAAAAAATAAATTTTTTTAAAAATTGTTGAAAAATTCCATATCTTTTTTTCTTATTTTTATTCTAAAAAAAAAAAATTCCATGTTTTTTAACAATCATTTCTCATTCATCAATCAAAGTATCCAAGATAAATATAGGCCTACTTCAGATAGGATAGGTATCGTTCGATATTGTACACGATTTATTCTCATGCCAGATATTCATGAGCGTCAATTCAATTTTTGCGAAATACAATGTTTACGGATGAGGGTGCAAATAAAAGAGAATGAAGAAAATTGAAATTAATTTTATTCCGTGATGCTAGTCCTTTATTTCATTATTCGAACTCATGATCATGAATCGTGTGTTTAAAGTTTGAGAATTTATAATTGATTTTCTATCGAATTATTACGAGGAATTTTAATCAAATTTTGAAGTGACAATTAATATTTTCATAATTTCCTCTAACATATATTTGGATGGAAATGAAAATTAAATTTTTATTATATCTTGATTATTTTATTTTGATTTATTATTTTGTTATTGAAGAAAATTTTTGAGATATAAATTTGAAAATTATTATTAGAATGAAAGAGAGATGTCAATAAAAATTTTTTAATTTTCTCTACATTTTTGAAACAAATTTAAAGTGAACGAAATGGATTTACAGATGTTATCTGTGATAAAAAAAAGATATGGTAAATATTGTCGAGAGTTAATGTATAACAATATAAAAAATACGATAAAATAAAAATAAAATATAAATGAAACAAATATACAATATTAAAAAATAAATGTACAAATTTGAAATATTAGTATAATATATCAATTCTTATACAGAAGCAGCTGCAAATTCACAATTCCCAATCTCTTTCTCTTAAAAATAACGATAACATTAATAAGATAATTGAGTCTAGTACGCTCAATTGATTTTTCATTACGTCGTAAGAAGAGAAGAGAAAAGAAAAGAAAAAAAAAATGTAAGGAAAATTCAGATTCTTTTTCGCAGGAGAAAAGAATCTGGGGCTTCGCGTTATAAGAACATTGCTCGTTTACCTCGACAATGCGTTTTTTTTTAAAGCGTAATAAGAAATAAAAAGAGAGAGAAAAAAAGAAAAGAGACAATAATAAAACCAGAGAGAAAATAATAAGATTTTTAAGTAAAATTGAAAAAATATATCCTCGCCTAAATTTCAATGATCCTAACTAAAAATAGCTATGAAATTTTCACGTGCAAGTTAGTGTCGTACATTTAATTTCTTCTCTCATAATTTGAATGCTTTAAATATAAATGCATATTAAATTATTATTTAGTTTAGTTAAATTTTGATGACACGATAACAACGATGATTTAACGCGAAAATAGAATGTTATAAATGAGCAAAATCAGAAATGAAACACATTTCAAAATCATTGAGATCACATAAATATTTTTTCGACAATTTTCAATTTTCTCGACGAATCTCAAACAACAGAAATCGAAGGTCGAAAAAATCGAGACGAATTCGATGTTCTCGATTGGCTAGCTCCATGCTAACGACTATCAGTCTATCGAGGCTATTCGAGAATTTGTAATGTATGCATCCGTACGTTGTCACATCCATTCACAAGGGACGATAATTCACAAAGGATCTCGATTCCCGGCACGGTTGCTTCGCAATATCGGCGATTGATTAATTTTGCCCCGTTACGCATCGGATAAATTTCTCATTTCCACGAACAAAGACGTGCCACCACCTTTGGGTGAATTGTTTCGTAGAATTGTGATCCAATTGTGACGGTACATCTTTGTGTTTCCGGAAAATTGGAAGATTTAAGACTCGAGAGCATGCTTTTCTTCTGTTATACGTGTGTCCGTCTTCGTTTCGTTAATTGGAAGAACAAAGATAGATATATATACGATCGCAGCAAAAAGTTGCACGTGTGCATCGTTTTTGCACCGAAGGGAGATTGAGATTTTGTCGAGCAAATAACGAACGATTTCGAAGGTGGAATCGTTTCGTTTGTTACGTTCGAACATGGTTTATGAAATATTGGTTGTGCATCATGTATTATGTATTACTTATTGTGTGAGAGTTTGTAGTATAGGTGATGATACGAGGTTATATTTTCTATACTGTTGAAATAAACGGATTTATTTCAGATTTCGTTATTTGAAAGATATCACTGCTTTCGAAAGATTTTATTAATTTTATAATAAAAAATATTATTTAAAAAATGTAAGATAATGATATTTCTAAATTAATTTACACGGATGATGATTTTTATATATGAATATATACTGTGTTAAAAAAATTAATATTATAATAATTATACAAATTTTTTATTCAAAATAGTTAATAATATTAGTATTTTTGTAGTCTGATATATAATATATATATATATATAGATCATGCTTGACCCGAGCACATTTCTAATTTTAAGGCTCTTTAAAAAGCTCCTTTTGCTTTAGAACACATCTCTAGTAGGTAAGTAAACAAGCTACTGTTTGTACACCAAGCTTCCGGTCCCCAATTTACTTTCAGAGCAGAAATGTTTTCTCCTGTTCCAAACTAAACTGTGTTTCTAGTCTTGCAATTCCAACAACGATCCAATGTGTCAAAGAATAACTAGCAGTTACAGTAAACATTTCTTAGTATTGCAAGAATTAATAAATATTAAAATATATGGACAAAACGTATATCGAAATTCATTTAATTTACATACGTAAAATTAAGCAAAATTCATTATATACATATTCAGAAAAAAAAATATAAAAATCATAAGATATTATCCTTAATAATATCCATCTTATTACTTTATTATCTTAACGTCACAAGTCAGAAATTCCTAGATTAGAAAATTAAATTACAGTTCATTCCCAAAAAACTATTTGGAAAAAAAAGAAACCATTACAATCCACAGGATAGTGCAAAATTTGACTCGATTTCGATCCAACCCTCCTACCGAAAAATCCCCAAAAGTTAACTTAATTCCTCCCCCGAAAGATCGCGAATAAAAGCGCATGGCAGCCATTTCGTTTAACTTTTACAGCATCTTCTGGTCGGTCGCCATTAGTCCCAAAAGTCCCAAAGAATTCTTCCTTACGAGTCCTCCTCGGCCACCGTCCCTTCCAACGGATTAGCAAAACGTCACCGAGGGGACAGGGGGGCAGTTAACTCTTATCTCACGTTTCGCGACGATTTTACGAGGGGACGAGCTCTGGTGTGTACACACGCCATCGCTCCAGGCATCGTTCCCTTATCTACCACCTTCAATTCCCTCGCCCTTAACCGGCAGAGACCGGGTGGCGATATTCACGATGATTTTCGCACGCCTCGTAATTTTTAATTACGCCACCCTTCGCGGCCTTTTTATATCCGGTATAACGAAGTCATAGTCCTTTGCAACGAGCCGAATAATTGAAGCAATTATAACCCGGATAATTGGGTTCCGGTTAAAAGCGGACGTCGTCATCGATGGTAGCGGAAGTCGTTCTCGAAATCGGTGTCGGGTAGCAATCTCTCTCACATACACACGCTCTCTATATTTCGTTTTGAGTTTTTTCCTCCTTGCTTCCAATTCTTCTTTCTGTCTGTCGAGAAAGGCTTTAGTATTTTCATGCAGTTTTGGTTTGGTTTTTATTAAGTTATTTGATGCAGTGCGCTCGTTCGTGAAACACGATATTCTTGAATTTAGTTTAGATCTTTGTAACGTGTGTAATAATTATATGGAGTTTTCTTTGTTGTAAGATATTTAGATTATAATGAAGTTTATTTATTCTTTTTTTCTTTGGCTATTTTTTTATTTTTATTATCGTGTTTGAAGTCTTAAAGTTTAGAATATTTATTGGGATGTTTAATATTTTTTAAATTATATTCTTTTAAATTAGTACGATACAATCTGGCCTATTAATATTTTTATCAATTCAAATTATTCAACTTATTGTTAAATTTATTGTGGTTGATATTAACAATTAATTTCTCAAATGAACTCGTGATCATTTCCAAATCTGAATAATTTGCGGTGCCTTCGCTCATTAATAACCACGTCCTACTTAAATAATCAACTGCTCTTCATTAATTTGACGCGCAGCGTACCGAGAAATCGCAGAATCACGAATCTAGTATGTATTCTGTGTATTCTGATGTTGTGATTGTAACTTGTACTTTGAAAATTCAACTTGTATCTCGTTAGAAGTGAACATGCCTTTTACGCGTACGTAGAATTGGAAAAAAATATTAAATAATTAAATTGAAAAAAATATTATACAATTAAAGCTAAAATGGAATAAGAATATTGGTAATCTTTATTCAAGTCATAGCATAAATAAACTATATGAATGCAGAAATGAACAACATATGATTATCCAATATCTACGATTTCTATTTTATTATAATACACTCCAATAATTAAAAAAAAAAAAAAAAACAATTTCCTTTCAGAATCACGAATTACTTTTTACTATTTTAACTATTTTAAGTAAAAATATTTTCTACCACGATTAATCACAAATTATTTCCCATTTCATAATCATAAATACTTCCTATTCCCATCACTTCTTATTATACCACAATAATTCAAGAAAAAACAATTCCCCTCCCTTCAAAATTCCACTACTGAACACTTTTGATATTCAACTACAACTACAATCACGAATACTCTCAATATTCAAAAACAATAACATAATCCAATAATTCGAGAAAAGAAAAAAGGGAGAAAAACAATTTCTTCCTCCTTGAAAAACTTCTAAATCACTTCCCCACTTTCCACGAACAACATTTCTTATCGCAATCGAACGACCACGAATATATTTCGGCCACGAATATCAAAACAGTTATCGCGCAAAAAACGAGCAGAGACGAATAAACTACAAAGCAGGAATAAAAAAAAAAAAGAGCACGCGTGGTATATCCTTCGTATCATCCATACCATCTCTCCTCCCCCCTTCCACTGTATTATACTTCCAACGAATATAATGCTTCTTGTTAGGAACCGCGCCGCGCTCGTAATTATGAACGATTGTGAGTACACGTCGTTCCAGGTAACCGGCACAATGCCGCGTTTTCACCGCGTACTCTCCCCTCTCTCCCTTCCTCTCTTCTCTCCATCCGTACGCTCGCTTTTTTCGGCGGGGGAGGGGAGGGTGCATGGTCTCGTATTCGTTCGATCCCGTGTCGTTTCCCGCATCTGTTTCGCCGTGGTTATTCGAGCGAATTTTCACCGGTATCGGCACCGATTTCTTTTCCGTACCGCCACCGATACGACACGATTTTCCTGCCGACGGGGGGAGGGGGGGAGGGGGAATCGGTCCCCGGTTATTTTTACCTTCCATGCACGGTGTATATGAACGCGGGCGACGAGGTCGCGGCTTTTTCCTCGAAATTTCGTTTCGCGTTTCCGTTCAGTTTGTTCGATGGTGGTGGGAGAGAGAGAGAGAGAGAGAGAGAAAGGGAGAGAGTACAAGTTGTACACGCTCTTCGCAGAGCGTTTCCCGGATCGTTTTGTATCGTGGAGCACATGGAGAGGGGAAAGAGGAACGAATGATACGAGAGGAAGTCGGGGGAGGGAGGGAATTAATATTTGCGAGGGAGCTTTTTCTTCTGAGAGGGAGGAAGGGTTGAATTTTCGCGATTATTCCACCGGCTAGGTTATCGGCCTCGATTAATTTCATCGGCTGGGACAGGTTGGAGGAATTAGAAGACGAGGGGAGTTAATCGCACACGGGGGATTTTCTTTGGAACGGTAAGGGGTAATTCTTTTCTTGAGAGAAGCGAGCTTGAGGAGGAATTTCTAAGGGGTTAGATCGGATATTATGATTGTGGACCGAGGGGATGTAAATGTATATTTTTTTTTGTAATTCTAGAATTTTTTATTACAAATTTCGTTGTCTCGAAAATGGACAAATGGAAGTCGTGATTTAACATCCTAATTTTTATAGTTCGTTCGTGGTTTTTGTGGTTAATGTCATTCCTTGATTAATGAGATGTACGAATAGAAAAATGGGATATAAATTATTCTTCTTGATTACGTTAACAAATTTTTATAGAATACAGAATAAAGTTCAAAAGTTAAGTTTTAAACAAAAGAAGAAAATTGAATGAATTAGAATGATTGTTCACATTTTTCAAATATTCCTAATAATCGTATTAGTAGCATCAAACGTGTTTTCTATAATTTAAATTATAGACAAAATTTCAATTATTTTAATACCAATTTATATCAACTCATAAAACTAACTCTGATCCATAACCAATTAATTCCAAACTAATTTTGAATTGTACGCAAAATTAAATTTTTTTCTACAAAATTTTATTTTTCCACTTTTAATTCTTACATAGAAGAAACGAACAAATTCCATTCCCTCATTGATTTTTCTATTTCCAACTAATCAGGAATGCATGTTCTCTCTTTATCGAGTCTCCTCGAGTCGAAGAGGAAGAAGAAAGCACGTAAGGCAAATAGCAATCAAATCCAATCTCCTTCTCGAAATTCTTATCTCTTCTCGATTAGAAAGAAGATGTAGTCTCCACCGGAAGTGCTCTGCGCGAAAACTCGAGGATCCAAAAAGTCTGAATGACAAGCTGACGGTGAAAGCTTATCAAGTCGGCATGAAAGTTAAAACGATAATCGAATAATCGTCGACTTGTTCTCTCCTGTCGACCGCGAAATTCACAGTCGCATCGTTCTTATCGGTCGAGTGAACTTTCGACGAACTCTTTCCACCTGGCCGATCTCGTTTTCAACGTTTTCGTTCATCGTCCCTTGAAGGCAACATTAAATACATCCATAGAGTTACTCGTATCCAAAAACTTTGCAAAGATTTTTGAATGGCGTGTTTTTCCTTTTCCAGATTCAATTGAAAGATACCGAAACTCGTAACGAAATTCTCGAAAATTAGATGAATCTCTGAAAGTTTCTGTATTTTTTCTTTTTTTTAAATTGTGGAAAAAGAAAATTTGCAGAGTTCTTTTGTATTTGTAATTTTAATTTTTTTGTATTTGTAATTTGTAATTTTTCTTCGAAGATTTATCTCGTTTTTTTTTTTTTTGGAATCGTGCAATGAAATTTGTGAAAATTCCTTTTAATTTTCGAGTTTTCAATAATCGTAAGAGGATGATGTAACGGATTTCGAAGTTAACAGACGATTTCTAAAAATCTAGAACACTTTCTTTGAAGAAAAAAAAAATGGTATTAACGAGAGAGAATATTTAAGGAGAAGACCCGAGTACGCGTTAATGGGTAATTAACATTTATGTTGAAAGGAGCTTTTGTAATGCTCAGAAAGTTGTTAGAATGGCCATTAAACCTGGAAACATCCTTAGGAATGTCTGTGCTATATTTACGAATGATAATTATTGTCCAAAAACTCGTGAAGAATTCAAGTTAAGAAAATCATAAAAATCGAAAAGAATTTATATTCTTTATGATTTTCTAAAAGTTATGAAAATCTTGTAATAGAAAACGATAAAATGTGATAAGAATGTGAAAACACAATTTCCTTTTAATTCAGTACAACTCACTTTTCTTAAATTTTCACTTTTAATATAGAATCAATACTCATAATTTTTTTTCTTGGAAAAAATTTTCTACTTTTCTCGCGTTGCTCTTCTTTGCTATAAAATGAAAAGGAAACTTTTTAAATAATAAAAACCTAAATATTTTCCTAAGAAAAGAAAACCTTAAAAGATCATATAAAAAGAATCCCAAATGAAATATTTTTAATTACCCGATAAAATATTCAAAGCTTCCAAAATAAGAAATATTTCTCCTCTTAAATTATAGTTTTTAAAACTGTTTAAAAATGATTTAAACGATAAAACATAAAAAAGAAAGAAAACATAAAAAAAGAAGAAAAAAGACTTTAAAACATTCGAACCTTCGAAAAGCAAATATTTCCCTACGACACGCTTTAAAAAACGCTTAAGGGCGAGTTGAATTATATGTATATATAACTGACACAAAAGAGTTGACAATTCCAATTCACAGGATCGTATATAATATCAAAAATGGAATACAATAAACATCGAATACGATTCATCGATTTCACTCGTTGCAAGTGTGTTTTCACTTTATCCCCATTTTCAACGAACTAAAGTGCACCCCTGAACGTCCGTTCTGTGGGCGTTAATTTTTTTTCTCCTGCTTCTCATCCTTTCCTTTTTTTCCATCGTTCTCCCTTTCCTCTCTCTCTCTCTGTTTCTCATATATACACACACACGCATACTTTCTCTTCACGCGATCGTATCTAATTACATCGTGTGACCGCCTCCAAAGGATAGTTATAATTAGCGCTAGTTAGAACATAAAACGAGCACCCTGATTTATTTACGGTTCTTAATTTGCATTCGCCGACTGTCCACGGCTTTTAATTTATCACAGATACGATAATCCGTTCTATCGTCATCGTTAAATTAATTCGCCGATTTTATCGGTAATAAAGTATGGAGAATGTTTGAAAGAAGAGAGGTTTATAACGTGGTTGAATTAAATCAGATGATCATCCTTGAAATATTAACAATCTTGATTATAAAGTTTATTTATTGCTTTTGATGAGATAGGAATTTGATACAGTGCATTTAATAATATTTTTGGATTTGTTTTGATAAGATGGAAATTTTGATTTTGATTGTATTTTTTTTTTGGTTGTTTTTAAAAATCTTTCACATCTCTTGGTCCTTTTTTAATAATCAAACGATAAGTTCTCTTTGTGATAATTTTTTTCATGTTAAATATTTGTTTCGATATTGTTTTAATATTGAAAAGTATTTAATAAAAATATTTGTTTCATATTGATTATATTAATATTAGATGTTTAAAGTATATTTTGGAAAGAAATTTATGGTAACTTCGTCCATCTGTTATTATTTAGAAATAATTAAATTCGTAAATTGGAATTATTGCTACTTGTTTGATTTTATTCTGTAACAATTGTTCCTGATTTTGTTTTTGTTCCTGAATTTGAAATTTAATTTTCTAAAAATTTCTTTTTTCTATTGCGAAAGATTTATATTTCTTTCTCAAAATTATTTGTACGTATAATAAACAATTGAAATGTCATAAAAATTAACAATCTTTTTGAAATATCTTTAACAATTTATTATTTTCAAAATATAAAGAATCGACAATGAGTTCAAAGAGCAACGAATTTTTAGAATCTTTTGATCTTTTTCGCAAAAGAATTTTGTTTTTATGTTTCACTGATCCTCGATTAATTAAAAAAGGATTAATTTGAGCTGAAATCGAACCGCCTTTAATCGAAATAAAGATTTTTGCTTGAATTTTGACCGACATTCGTATAATAGAAGTGGATCAGAAAGTTTTAATTTGTGAATGAATTCTGCCAAGCTTTTGAAACTTGTTTTTTGTCTAAACTGTTCGTTTCAAGTAAGAATTCCAAACTTTCGGTCCAAACTTCTCCCTTTGCTTCAAATTAATTTTGAATTTTCGCAAAATCTCAATTTCTTAAATCTTGTTGTTCAATTTAAGCATAAGTTATTTTAATTAAAAAATTACGAAATTATGTATCGCCATTGATGCAATTTATACATGTTTGTGAAATATGTATAAAAGCTATCATTTTCTTAATTCAATTCTTGATTGAAAATAAAAAGATAAAGACAATAGATCAAAGATATCTTCAAGAACTGAACGAAAATATTCTTTTAACACAATTCTCGAATAACGTTGATGAAACTCAAAGTATCAATATTTTTTTACAATTATCCGCTCTACTTTCTCAATTTTATTCTAAAATTCTGCTAAAACCATCCATTAACTCGAAGGCAAAGAGCATACATATTAATTGATTCGTTTCATTGTGGGAGAAAAAAAAATTATTTGAATAAAGAGGACGAAAAGTAATACAGAGATAAATTGAGAAGAGAGCGAAATTGTCATCGGTGTATTTTTCTTATTAAAATTCTCAAGTGCTAGAATTTGTGTTTATCGTTTAAAAAGTGTGGTATTAAAAGAAGAAGTTTAAAAGAGAAACGAAACTTTTCGCAATTAACATTTTTAGATGCATGAAAAATTCATCGTAATGTTTTTTTATTGTTGAAAGAAGTTTGGAACTTTTATCAGAAGAAATTCATTGTTTTTGATTGTCATAGTTATAAAAAAAAAAAAAAAATCATTGAAACAGGG